CTTGGCATTGCCCTTCTTTGGAACTGGAATGTAAACTGACCTTTTCCAATCCTGTGGCCACTGTTGTGTTTTCCAAGGTTGCTGCCATATGGAGTGCAGCACTTCAACAGCATCATCTTTTAAGATTTTGAATAGCTCAGCTGGGATACCATCACCTCCGCTAGCTTTGTTGTTAGTAATGCTTTCTAAGGCCCATTTGACTTCGCACTCCAGGATGTCTGGCTCAAGGTCACTGGCTGTTGTGGTTGTCAAGGACATTGAGGTCCTTCTTGTATAGTTCTTATGTGTATTTTTTGCCATCTCTTCCTAATCTCTTATGCTTCTGTTAGGTCCCTACCGTTTTTGTCTTTTTATCATGGCCAGCTTTGCATGGGATGTTCCCTTGATTTCTCCAATTTTCTTGAAGAAATCTCTAGTCCTTCCCATTCTATTGTTTTGCTCTATTACTTTGCATTGTTCATTCAGGAAGGCCTCCTTATCTCTCCTTGCTGTTCTCTGGAAATCTGCATTCAGTTGGGTAAATCTTTCCTTTTCACCTTTGCCTTTCACTTTCCTTCTTTCCTCTGCTATTTATAAAGCCTCATAAGACAGCCACTTTGCTTTCTTGCATTTCTTTGTCTATGGGATGGTGCTGATTGCAGCCTCCTGTACAATGTCACGAACCTCCATCCATAGTTCTTCAGGCACTCTGTCTATCAAATCTAGTCCCTTAAACCTATTCTTCACCTCCACTGTATAGTCATAAGGGATGTGATCTAGGTCAAACCTGAATGGCCTAGTTCCCAACTTTCTTCAGTTTAAGCTTGAATTTTGCAATGATTAGCTAATGATCTGAGCCACAGTCAGCTCCAGGTCTTGTTTTTACTGACTGTATAAAGCTTCTCCATCTTTGACTGCAAATGAGATAATCAATCTGATTTCGTTGTTGCCCATCTGGTGATGTCCATGTGTAGAGTTGCCTCTTAGGTTGTTGGAAGAGGGTGTTCGCTATGACCAGCATGTTCTCTTGACAAAACTCTATTAGCCTTTGCCCGGCTTAATTTTGTTCTCCAAGGTCAAACTTGTCTGTTATTCCGGTTACCTTTTGATTTCCTTCTTTAGCATTTCAGTCCCCTGTGATGATAAGGACATTTTTTGTGTGTGTTAGTTCTAGGAGGTGTTGTAGGTCTTCACAGAACCAGTCCATTTTGGCCTCTTCTGCACAAGTGGTTGGGTCATGGATTACTGTGATGTTGAATGGTTCACCTTGGATTCGGACTGAGATCATTCTGTCATTTTTGAGATTGTATCCTAGTACTGACTTTTGCACTCTTTTGTTGACTATAAAGGCCTCACCATTTTTTCTATGGGATTCATGGCCACAGTAGTAGATATAATGGTCTTCTGAGTTAAATTAGCCCATTCCTGTCCACTTTAGTTCACTGATTCCCAAGATGTCGATGTTCAGTCTTGCCATTTCATTTTTTACCTCATCCAAATTACTTTGATGCATAGATCTTACATTCCAGATTCCTATGCAGTATTGTTCTTTGCAGCATCGGACTTTCCTTTCATCATCAGACACATCCACAGCTGAATGTCCTTTCGGCTTTGGCCCAGCCGCTTCACTCTTTCTGGGGTTACTTGTACTTGCCCTCTGCTCTTCCCCAGTAGCATATTGGACACCTTCCGACCTGAGGGGCTCATTTTCCAGTGTCATATCTTGTAGCCTTTTGTTACTGTCCATGGGGTTTTCTTGGCAAAGATACTGGAGTGGGTTGCCATTTCCTTCTCCAGTGGATCACATTTTAGAGGAGTTCTCTGCTGTGGCCTGTCCGTCCTGGGTGGCCCTCCATGGCATAGCCTGCAGCCTCATCGAACCATGCAACCCCCCTCTCCACATCAAGAACGTGATCCATGAGAGAGTACCACTAGCTATATTCTTGCAATATATGTTATGACCATTAGGGGGTGCTAGTGCCATACTCTTCCCAATGATTATTCCCCCCAATACGTATGCTCATTACATATGCTAACTCACTCAGTCCTCACATATGTATCCTCAACAAGGACTATACATCCTCTATATTTTAGTGTATTTCTTTTACAAAATAGTCTATCAGAATACTGAAAGTAACGCAAGGAATATTGGGATGTTTTGCTGCATCCACCTCAAAAAAGAAAAGGAAAATGCCGTTAAGTGACCTCCATGCCTGAGAGGAGAGAATGGAGAGTATCAGTTTATTTCCCACAATTAGAAAATATACCTTTTCACATTTATCAGCTATTTTGACATATTTATTGCTTTACAACTGTTGACCTTATAACCTTAGCTTGTTGTTTAGTTTGTATTTGCACATCTTTGTCATGTTACATGCTAATTTGCTGTTCAGCCCCCATCTATAAGTTTGAACCTTACCTGCCATTCCTAAGGTATTTGAAAAAGTGTGCCTTGCACATGAAAGCTCATACCTTGAATAAACCTATGTTGGTCTTAAAGGTGCCACCGGACTCTAAGTTTGTTCTACTGCTTCCGACCAACACAGCTGACCACCTGGATCTATCCCCAATGAGTATCTCATTCTTTTCCCCCAAGACCCAATATACACTAAAATACACTAAATATAGAGGCAACTAATAATATTCCCAATATATGTAGATGTATCAGAGACTCTAGTGTAGTGTAGTGGCTATCACATTTACATAACACGCAAAAGGTCCCCGGATCGAGACCGGGCAGAAACACATTTTTTTGCCAAGGATAGAGCCAATGGCAGCATTTTCCTACAGCCAGGCAAAAGACGGTGTTTGGCTACTGCATAAATTAGTTTGCTCTGGAGCCATCCTTCCTGAGCTAAGACAAAAATGTGTGAGCCAGAGGTTAAAAAGCTGTGAGCTAGCTCACACTAACTCAGCTTAGAGGGAACACTGACCCCTGGTGGGGTTTCCAAGGCAAGAGATGTTCAGAGGTAGTTTGCCATTGCCTGCCTCTCCATCACAACCCTGGTATTCCTTGGTGGTCTCCCACCCAAGTACTAGCCAGGACCAGCCCTGCGTAGCTTTCGAAATGGGATGAGATCAGGCCAGTCTGAGCTATCCGACTCACTGCCAAAAATATCCTTACCACTAGCTATACCCTTGCAATATATGTTATGACCATTAGAGGGAGCTAGTGCCATACGCTTCTCAATGATTATTCCCCCAATTAATAATGCTAACTCATTCAGTCCTTACATATGTATTCTCAACAAGAAGGACTATACAGCCTCTATATTTTAGTGTATTTCTTTTTCAGAACAGTGTATCAGAATACTGAATGTAATGCAAAGAATATTGGGAAGTTTTGCTGCTGTTAAGTGACCTCCACGCCTGAGAGGACAGGAGAGTATCAGTTTACTTCCCACAATTAGAAACGATACCTTTACACATTTATCAGTTATTTTAAAATAACTATATAGTGTTTTATATTTACTTTATGATAGCAAATTAGCATGTAAAATGATAAAGATTTGCAAATACAAACTAAATAACAAGCTAAGGTTATAAGGTCAACAGTTGTAAAGCAATAAATATATCAGATCAGATAAGAAATTTATGTACGATCATAGATCAGAATAAAACATAGATATAAATTTATGTATATTTATATCTATGTTTTATTCTGATCTATGATCGTACATAAATTTCTTATCTGATCTGATATATTTATTGCTTTACAACTGTTGACCTTACGACCTTAGCTTGTTATTTAGTTTATCATTGCACATCTTCATCATGTTACATGCTAATTTGCTGTTCAGCCCCCGTCTATAAGTTTGAACCTTACCTACCATTCCAATGTATTTGAAAAAGCTCCTACCTTGAATAAACTTCTGTTGGTCTTAAAGGTGCCACCGGACTCTAAGTTTGTCCTACTGCTTCCGACCAACACAGCTGACCACCTGGATCTATCCCCAATGAGTATCTCATTCTTTTTCCCCAAGACCCAATATACACTAAAATACACTAAAATACAGAGGCAACTAGTAATATTCCCAGTATATGTAGATGTATCAGAGACTCTAGCTTTGTTAGAGAACAGGCATATGGGGCATGTGAGCTATGCAGATGAAGAAGCGGATTCTTTTTTTTTTAATTGCTGATTATTAGCAATATTTATAGAGCAATAAGATACAACTCGATTTTTTAAGCATACAGATCAGCTGAGCTGGGCTGGCAATGAAAGAGGGCTTGTTTCTGTAGTGTAGTGGCTATCACGTTTGCCTAACACGCAAAAGGTCCCCGGATCGAGACCGGGCAGAAACACATTCTTTTGCCTGGCTGTAGGAAAATGCTGCCATTGGCTCTATCCAGGGCAAGGGGGCGTGCACATTGACAATAAAAGTAATAATACATTATAAAGAACACGAATCTAACCATTTATGATGAAGGACGGATTAATAATAATCCGGAACCCATACCAGCTTTGCCATATGGAAGCTGCTTCTGCATTCATACATCGTTCTTATGAGAAAATCTCAGTCGACATCATTCTTATCTCTTCCAGTTTACGTTCACACCAACCCTGTTAGGTTGAGAGAGAAAGAGAGAGAAACCAACTAGTAAGTTTCATGGTAGAGTGGGGATTTGAATGTGAGTTAGGGCTCCCAGCATTGCCTCATCAAAAGCTGGGAGATGGTGCCGCCTAGGAAGGTTGGATGTAACGTTATTTCCTAGTGACGCTATAGGAATTTCACATAATCTCTATAGTAAAGACCACAAAGACATGGGGGAAATCCTAGAGCATCAGTATGGCAGCCATTTTCTGTCCACTTTTTTCTCATCGTTTTCTCAAGGGTAGGTGGGAGAAAGAGGCAAAGGTTAGAGCTTACTCTCCACAGGCAGGAAAATAGCAAGCCTAACCTGGTTCTCCCAAATCCTAGTCTAACACCTGCACTCAGTTTTCTTCCACCCTATGTACACGCCCCCTTGTCCTGGATAGAGCCAGTGGCAGCATTTTCCTACAGCCAGGCAAAAGAATGTGTTTCTGCCCAGTCTCGATCCGGGGACCTTTTGCGTGTTAGGCAAATGTGATAGCCACTACACTACAGAAACAAGCCCTTTTTCATTGCCAGCCCAGCTCAGCTGATCTGTACGCTTAAAAAGGTTTGTTGTATTTTATTGCTCCAGCGCATCCATTATCTTTCTCCTCAAGTGCAAGCGCCCTCCTCTGGGCAGAGTTGGCACTGCAGCCCTGCAGGCAGACAAAAGTAAGGATTTCTCTCTGGTTCCAGTTCCAGGACTGTCTGCGTGCTGGGAAAATGTGATCGCCCCTAGAGAAATGAGCTGTCTGCCTCCGCCAGCTATGCAGCTCTTCTATGCTGCGCTCATCTATGCTTTCAGGGGAGTTAGGGAGGCTGCACCATTAACATTTTTTAGTGTTGTTCCCTGGGAGCTCTTTTCTTCCAGGCATACAAATGGCCAGTGTCCTGGGTAAAGCCAGCATCGCTCGCTGCAAGAGCCCACGCACCTGCTTTCCATCGGGAAAACTGCCCAGCAGGTTGAAGTACCATATCAGCATCTGGCAGCAGAGCAGGCATGTTGTTCAGTAGCTCAGCTGGGGGAGCAGAGCACTGTAGGTAGTACAAGAAGGGATCCTTGGGCCGCTGGTTCAATTCCAGCAAGGGAGGCTGCTCTTTTGCTGGTACTTCTTGCCCAAAATGGGTCTTGCTACAGCGACACACTTCAGCCACCTAGGGATGCCAACCTTCATTTGTGGCTTGGAAATCTCCCAGAATTACAAATCATCTCCAGGTGACAGAGATCATTTCCCCTGGAGAAAATGCCTGCTGTGGAGGGTGGGATGAAACGTATGTCCTTAAACTTGCTGAAGTCCCTCCCCTCCCTAGACTCTTCCCTCCTCAGGCTCCAACTCCTAAGGCTCCACCCCCAAATCTCCAGGAATTTCCCAACCTGGAGCTGGCAACCCTACAAAGGGGACCTCAAATACCACCGGGGGGGGGCTGTCTCTCAGCAACTGCCCAAGAATTTCCTGTCTTGCAACTGAAAGGAAAGATAAGGAGGATCAGATCCCTTTGGGAAGTTTGGAGACTATTTAAAACTACAATCCTAGAAGCTCAGAGAAAATGTATACCGCAGGCAGTGTTCCCTCTAAGCTGAGTTAGTGTGAGCTAGCTCACAGTTTTTTAGCCTCCAGCTCACACACTTTTGTCTCAGATCAGGAAGGATGGCTCCAGAGCAGTGTTCCCTGTAAGCTGAGTTAGTGTGAGCTAGCTCACAGTTTTTTAGCCTCCGGCTCACACATTTTTGTCTTAGCTCAGGAAGGATGGCTCCGGAGCAAACTAACTGATGCAGCAGCCAAATTGCTCGCTCACAGCTTTTAATGCCAGTAGCTCACAAGGTAGAATTTTTGCTCACCAAACTCTGCAGCTTAGAGGGAACATTGACCGCAGGTTAGGAAAGGTACACATAGGAATTTAAAAAGGCCTGCATGGTTAACGAACAAAGTAATGGAAGCAGTAAAAGGTAAGAAGGAGTCCTTAAAGCGGTGGGAGGCCAGTCCGCGTGAGGTAAATAAAAGGGAGCACAGGCTGTGGCAAATAAAATGCAAGTGGGTGATCAGACAGGCAAAAAGGGGCTGTGAGGAACATATGGCAAAAAACATCAAGACCAACAATAAAGATCTCTTCAGGTACGTTAGCAGTGGGGCCCTTGGATGACCAAGGGGTAAAAGGATTACTAAAGGATGATAGGGAAACGGCAGAGAAGCTGAATGCGTTTTTTGCCTCTGTCTTCACTGTGGATGATGGGAGGTGCTCGCCCACTCCGGAACTGCTGATTTCAGGAGGGGTGTTGAAAGACTGATTGTGGTGACGAGAGGTGTCAGATTGAGGTGACGAGAGAGGATGTCCTACAACAGATGGACAAATTAAAAACTGACAAATCACCAGGCCCAGACGGCATGCACCCAAGAGTTCTGAAAGAACTCAGATGTGAACTTGCGGATCTCCTGACAAAAATAGGCAATCTATCATTATAATCTACCTCCATTCCTGACCACTGGAAGGTAGCTAATATCATCTCTAAAAAAGGTTCCAGAGGGGAGCTGGGAAATTACAGGCCAGCCAGTCAAACATCGATACCAGGTAAGTTGGAAGGAAGGATATAGAATGGCTGCTTTACAGGGTGGACTGTATGGCATTATACCCCGTTAAAGTCCCTCCCCTCCCCAAGCCCTGCCCTCCTCGGGCTCTGCCTCCCCCCAATGTCCATGTCGTTCCCAACCCAGAGCTGGCAACCCCACCGTCCACAGCTTAACCCATGTTTGCGTCACACCCAACATTTCATGCCCCTCAGCTCTGACGTTCAGTTATGATGTTGCCATGCTGGGGTTATGGAATGGCCAAGACTGGAATAGATCTTGTGGCCCACAACTGAAGGAACTTTGGTGCCCTTCTCCTAAGGGTTTAAAGAGGTCTTTTTAAGCTCTTCTGAAAAGGAAAGAGGCAAAAGAGAAAATGGTCAAACCAGTACACCCCCACACGGTCACCTCAGGACCTGCCCCGCCACACCAACCTCCACACTATGACTGCCGACTCTGGGTGTTGGGAAATTCCTGGAAATTTGGGGAGTGGACCCTGGGAAGGGTATAGTTGGGGAGAGGAGGAACATCAATGGGATATAATTAGGGTTGCCAAGTCGTTGCAGTCGCCGCAGCGGGGGACTCCGGGTGAGTTTTCCCTCCGATAGTCGTGGCCCCGCCCCCAGCATGCTCGGCGTCCTAACATCACTTCCTGGTGATGCGCACGTCGGGGCGGGGTTCCCCCCGGGGCCCGATCCGCTGGTGGCGGGGAACGGGCCTCTGGGGCGGGGGTTTCCCCACCCCCTGGGGGGACTTAGCAGCCCTAGATATAATGCCATAGAGTCCACACTCCAAAGCAGCCATTTTATATCTGGGGAACAGTGTGTAGCTGTAGCTCTCCCCATCTCAGTTGTAATTCCAGGGGATCTCCACGCACCACCCAGAAGCTGGCAACTTTACTCTGCACAGAAGTGACAGACAGGATTCCTCATGGGTGGCTTGAGATGGGAAGAGCTGGTGGCGGGAGACTAGGCCTCAGCCGTGCGTTCCATTCCTTCCTTCACACTTCACTTTAACAGTGAGAGTTGATTGCTCCCCATTTATTTCTTTACCTTGTTTATAGTCCACTTTTCTCACTGAGACTTCGTGTGGATGACACAGTGCAGGTCAAAACAATCAACAGGAGCATACATACAACAGGGTCATACACACAGCAACAGACACTGTGTACTATACATAGTATGGGAAGAAGATGTACCCCTCTGCAGCTCAGGAAGATTTAGCCGATTCTGCCCATCCTCTTGATTGGTGCCATCTGCCTAATTCTGCGATTCTGTTCAAAGGGCAGAACTCTGGGCTGGACCATACCCGAATTACCCGACTTCCAAGAATGAAGAAGAGGAAGAAGAAGAGCGGCTTACAATCTCCTTCCCTTCTTCTCCCCACAACAGCCACCCTGTGAGGTAGGTGGGGCTGAGAGAGCTCTGAGGGAACTGCTCTTGAGAGAACACGCAAGCTCAACCCGACCCCAGGGCTCCTAACCACTAAACCAAACTCGTCTTTTCAACTACCCTGTGTCTTCACAGGTGTTAAATAGTGGGTTCCATGGATGAACAGACCCCAAGTATAGTGATCAGCTCTCTTTATTAGTGATTTCAGCAAGGAGAAAAAAGACTGAAAAGCCCTGGCAGAAGCCTGGTTTTTAAGCATGCAAGACACCACCCCCCAAACACACACCCCACCCAACGATAGGCCATTTACATTACACTGTTTCTCTATTGGTCCATTCTAGGATTCTAGCCAGCTATTGTTTGTGGATGCAAGCTCAACCCGACCCCAGGGCTGGTTGGGGCTGACTCATCTTTAGTACACAACAACAGGGCTTCAGCACATTAGACCTCTGTACATGTGGGAGCGTTGCGGTTATCTTCAGGGAGGTAGGGTTGCCAACTGCCAGGTGGTGGCTGGAGAGCTCCTGAGAGTACAACTGATCTCCCGGTGACAGAGATCAGTTCACCTGGAGAAAATGGCTGCTTTGGAAGGTGGACTCTGTATGGCATTATGCCCCACTGAAGTGTCTCCCCTCCCCAGATCCTGCCCCTCCCCAGACCACCCCCAAAATCTCCAGATATATCTCAACCGGAGCTGGCAATCCTACCAAGGAGTCAAGGCATTGTGTGCTCACTCCTCACAGCTGCGTGTACGGACCATTTCCCAGGGTAGCCCCTGCCTACACAAAGCTCTCCTCAGCACTGCCATTTCTCCTCACAGTCTGTTGCCACCTGGCTCCAATTCTAAGCCTGGCTGAAGGGAAAACGCGCCTGAGGGACACGGTGGGGAGGCAAGATTGGCAAGGGGAGGTGCTTTGGAGAAACCGCCCCCCCCCCCCCCGTGTGTGACATTTGCGTGCTCCTGATGCCACTGTCTTTCAGGCCCTGAGCTAAAACAGTTTCTTTTGCCCAAGCAATCGTGGATGATGCAGTTTTGCTGTTCCTTATTTCTTTAATTTTGTTTCTGAGGTGTTTGATGTGGTTGTGAAGGTAGGCGTTTGGATTTTATGTTTAATTTCTGTGAGCGATCGTGAAGGCTGATAAAGCAGCAAGGCAGGATAGGAATATTTAAAATGCATAAATACATTACAAAGCGGGCACGTGGTAATTCCCACCTTAGAGTGAGTCATTTGTGCGCTTGCCAAGGGAAATGGCGTTGGCCGACACATAGCGAAAGCTGAATTCTTCATCTCCACTACTCAGCGGATGTATTTCACTGAGCTGCTACAGTATTGAGTGGACCTGTTCAGATTTTCTCCATAAGCCGTCTTATACCCAGACAGGCTTGTGAATAAGCTATGATATATATATATATTTGTCACCAGGATGGATGGCTCCCCAGCTGTGAAAATGTCATATTCTTATATGTTAACAAAAGGAAGGTAAGAAAATATTATATAGTAGCACAGGCACCAAAAAGGTGTCGGAAGAAAAATGCTCCTTCGATGAAGGAACAAAACGTG